TCTGCACAGCTTACTGAGTAGAAAATAGAGTCACGCCACCTCATGCTATGAATTTTCAACCCTAAAATAATTACCACCTGTATGTCGTTTATCTTTGTAACTAGATCACTTTTCGTCACCTCCTCTCGCTCTGCAATTTACCTGTGCACACCTTTCAGTTACGTATCTTGCGTCCGTAAGTCCTACCTAGCTAAATTCACAGGCAAACCCTTCGGACTAACGACCGGACGCCCGTTGCCTTTCTAGCCGTGTAGGGTCCGTGCATATTCCTAGCATTGGCAACACTCCAGGCTTACGTCAGTCAAAATTCAGATAATTCTACATACGCATATTGATACAGACTTGTTACAAATGTCTAACCACCTCTTCATGGCCATATATAATCTTCACATTAATTCATAATACACCTGACAACCCTAATCTTTTGGTTACCAACAAACCACCAAACACCCTCTCCTCGGCAGGGGTAATAACGTGCCCTCCCTTAATAAAGCTGGCATCACATCGGCGTGAACGTATTTACGCTCAGTTGCCGGTGTTATTTCAATACTGATAGCGCAAATAGCCTCTTGTGGGTTTCTCGTTCGCGAAAGGTTATTACAGACCTCAGCCGATCCCCCAGGCATGGTAGCTGTAGTATTGGAGAGCTGCCGAGGTTCAGGCAAGCATTGAGTCGACGCAGCTACCTTGAAGATTTCAGAGATTGTATCCATCGGAAGGGGGGAAAACCAGGTGATTGTAATCTTTAAAATAGGAATATTTTCACGCGCACGGTTTTATTAACACTTTGGTCATAAATCAAAGTAATAGCCGTCGTCAAAGGACATATCCCGAATGCATTCTACAGCACCAGTTTTCAAACGTGGGCAATATTTTGTCTCAACTGAGCAAAGGTTATCATATAGGATCGTAACTTCGATCTGTAGTGGAGCAGATTATGAGACGGAGTAGTATTAGGCAGCACGGTTCTCTTAAACAATCCGGCTGTTCGGTGTAGCTGTGAGTGTGATAAATGGCACAAGAACTTCCTCGGAAGTATAAAAGAGCCCCATTGCTTGTATTTTTTACGCGAATCATCTGACCTTTGGAAAATTGTGTATCGACCCTTGTCATAAACGTTAATTGAGGTATCCACAGCCAGCAGATTTTAGATATTTCTACACCCTTCCCACCGTAAGTTCACTCGCTGTTTGTATGCATGGGTTTGGCCATAAACTTCCAGGAGAACTGATTTCATTTGTACACACGTGCGATCGAATGTGGGCTTAACGGTTTCATTATAGGTTCGTGTGTTGGATGGTCCCAGATTGCCGTCGGCTGCCATCTGCATGATCATTAAAGAGGCCAGATCGAATTTTATGGGTACTTAAACATTTGCGGCAATTCCGGAGACTTGTACATGTCTGGTTTCTGTTGCACGACTTCGTCTTAGTTCAAAAGGTTGACTCAGAGTTACCAAAATAGGCAGCTCGTGTCATGTTCAAGTTCTATCTACTGTTGGTGCGGTGTTATCTGTCACGGGATAATCTTAATCCGCATATTTATTTTGCTCTGACCCACATTTGTAAGGATATGGGAAATAGTTACAAACATGTACACTTACAAATTCATAGTTAACAAACAAACAAACAAACGCACGAAACTTGATAAAACTTGTTCTATTCACCGATTTTTCTTCAGTTTCTAATCGTGTTATTTTGCCTGACATATTGATTTGCCACATATCCCATCGATAAATCAAACAGGCTGCTTTAACTCGGTCGTCTGCCCTCCTAATTACATCTACCTAGAGACAGTCACAGGTATGCCCTATATCCCGTGCCCCACGGCCCGCCAGCGCGCTGCTAACCCGTGCTGAAGGCTGTACAGATGCGGGCGGGGTCGGACCTACACGCCGCAGGGCACACCGACCTGTCAAACCTGCGACCCGTGGCCTATTTCCTCTCCTCGTGTGTTTAACGTCCGATAATTGAACTATTTAGCACTGTCACATTTGCAGTGTGGATCTCACCTCACAATCCTATATTGATCATTTCTTCATAGTTTACGCACATGCATATGTGGTTATTACAGTGAATCGGACGGAACGCCAAAAATAGTTGCTCAAGCAACTGGATATGATTTTGGAAATGGTCATAAGTTTCAGGTAGCATCCACTAACTTTCGTCTGTGACACTGGATAACTGGAGAATCGTTAGTGTCAGTGAATATTGTCAGTCAATAGTGTCATAGTGTCACAGTGTATATATAGTGTGTAGTGTCATAGTGTCACAGTGAATAGTTTCAGTCAATACTTTCTACACTGCACAGCTTTTTCAAAGTTGACTTTTTGCCACTTTGTGATAATATATTGAGCGATTCTGGTCTGTGACAGCCAGTGGAGGATGTAACGCTTCCATCATGAGCGGGTGATTTTCCACCCACGTCCCGGCAGATGGTGATGAATAACGGGCCTGATGAAGGCTCGCCACCCGGGAACTCCCTCCCCGATCACCGGGCGGTATTCCGACCACGGAGCCCGCGCCGCCGGGGATAGTTTCCCGCCGTGATAGAGCGTGTTGCCATGGTGAGGAGGGGAAGGGGCACCTGTTTTCCGGCGGGGACTGGCCCGAGAACAACCCTAATTTATCACGGTGTTAGTGATGTGATTTCTTACAGGTAACTATCTCAGCTCACTGGAAGCTATGGAAACAATATTGTTTTTAACGGAATACCTCCGTTATTAATATTTATTTTCGAATAAGATGAATATTTGGACCTAGTGCATATCATAGGTGAATGAGGATAGTGATCCTACCTAACTAGAACGAGTATGCCGTTGAAATAAAACTTAATAAAAAGGCCTTTTTATTATTTTTCTAAGTTGTGAATATGTGTTCCCGGACTCCCATGCAGCTCTGGTACATCTGGAGCAAAACCTAGGAGAATGTATTAATGGAAAAGTATAACATCCTGTCGGCTTCAGGTCGTCTGAACACTTTCTGAATTATCACTGGAACAAGATCACAAACCAGCGTTGTCTGCTTCGTTCTACTGTGGAAAACTTCTAACGTTACAATAAAACAAATGCGGATCAATTCATCTTTGTAAAGGCCCCTGTATCGAGGCCTTCGTACTTTTACGTATTCTCAACATGAAACGCTGGCTCGTTTCGAGTACGTTCCCGTCACATCCACCATAGCAGCCAGTAAGATTTCTTTGTCAGATTGTCAAAAGGAAAAGCCCCGGCTGACATTGATGTTGACGCCGCCTGTCGTGCAGTCAGATAATATTTGCGTGATGTACGGTCTGCTGTGACAAATACTGGCGCTGCTGCCGTAGGATCGGTTTTATCTTCTAAGGTTGTCAGCAAAACTTCTATCGTCCAGGCAATATGTTACGTGACATCCATCGCCTAGTGCCTTTGCCGCGACAATGTAATCTGTCTTGCTCTTCACACTTCCGGTCGCATGTCTAACAACAGCGATGAGTGATGACGTTCCGTCCCGTGTGGGGATGTTCCGTCCAGAGGCGCAGGAAATGGTGCACGGCAGGTTGGCAAGAAGTATTACAGATCTGAAGATTGATGGTGGCTTTGTTTTGTGCTAGTTTGTGGCTACTCGTTTTCCAAAAGTCTGCTCTTTATTCGGCAGTTGTTTGGATTTCAAAGCATGCCCTTGTGAATATTGCTGCCACTGTACATGGTGCTGAATAACATCCGCGTGACCATTACTGTCCCTGTCCTTGGTGCTGAATAACAGAGTGACCACTGCTTGTTTTGCCAGTGGTTCCGAATGACAGTTAAGTGGCCATTGCTGTCCGTTCTTTTATTGTAGTGAAACAGACAGCCATGCCGTCATTGTTGTCCCTACCCTCGGTGCTGAATAACAGTAAGTGACCATTGCTATTTTTGCCATCGGTTCTGAATAACAGTTAAGTGACCGCTGCTATCTCTGTCTATTGTAGTAAAAAAAATTAAAAACAGCCGTCATTGTTGTCCCTGTCCTTAGTGCTAATGAACAGTAAGTGACCACTGCTGTCAGTGTTGCCGAAAAACAGGAAACTGACCATTGCTGTCCCTGTGGATTGTTGCCCCTGTCCTTGGTGCTGAATTCACGTTATTGTCCAGCCATGGTGCTTGTTTTTTCATTTTGTTATGCTTAACAGTTGTTCGTCGGTTTCTTGTCGTAATAATCATGTTGGCCACGTTTCGCCTTTCATTAGAACTCCCCATCTCTTCACGGCCGCCTGTGAATTCTTATAGCGCAGTGACACATGGTGATAGGTGGATATATAATGAGCGTGGTTATAGGGGTACCCTACGGCGCTACTCCTTAATGCCTTAATCTGCTCCCAATTACCACACTTCCATCTCGACACTGGCCTTTTGTGCTGCAGACACTCCTATTAATTTCATCATGTGATATCTCCTATCCAAACTCCTAACCGTCACCGGTTCTGATTATGATGGGCTTACACCCGACCCCCGCTATTTCAGAATGTGCAACACTGTCTAAAACTGACACTATCGTTTGATCTGGACATTTTTTTATTTCATCTTATGATTTCGTCAATGACCACAATGACCATGGTCTACTCACTTTAGATATGATAACTTGTCGCTCTGGAAGAATCCTCGAGACCTGCATACTGGGCCATAACGGCTTGTCGTCCTGATATATCATAAGAGAAACATGCAATTCATTTATATTCGTGTTATAATGGACGGGTAAGCTCCAGTACTAGCTCTTGAGAAAACTTACGTCGGGTAACGTTGACTCAAACGAGAGGCAACATTGTGCATTACCTACAAGGATTGCTAGGTGGCATTTTTACGTCGGTCGTAAAATCACAACCAATTGGAGACAACACTGCCTGCAGATACCACTTTTCGAGAACTTTGCTACTTCTGAGAGTGCTTAATGACTAATAAAAAATCAGTCAAGGCTTTCTCACGGTTGTTTTATTACACGTATGTTCAGTAAACTGTAGCTTTGCGGCTAGATTAGCACCTAATGTACGGGCAAGTGCAAAAGTCGATCGACTGATTTACTTCTAAGGCTTTTTGCTGGGTATTAACACCCGGGGCATCATATTGATTTTCCTTCTACTTACCCTATCTGTATCTCTGATCTGTGGCCAGCACACCGAACTAAGGATGGTGGAAACCCCACGCTGGAAATATTTACAAATATTGTAGGTTAAATGTTGTTCCAACGAGTGACAAAAAGGTGACAGTAAAAGGCTATTTACAATGAATAAATAGCATTCCTGTGGCATTCTAGCCCCCTTTTATTGGCAATGTTGTCAGTACAATGCTTATCAAACTAAAACAGTAAATATCATTAGAATGATGATCTAGTTGTATTAGAATACACTTCGATGTAAATATACATTATGGTAATAATGATAGCGGTTATTTAGATGACATAATATCTATCCAAAGAGAAATATCAATTTAGTTGAACACATATCAGGATAAATAAATCTTATACTTCAAAAGTTGTTAGTTGCCTGTGACTTTATAAATAATGTATACATATGGTCCATCTCCAAAGAAAGATGTGGAATACAATAAGGATAAAGCAGACAGCTCGAGTTCTGTATTTGAAGTGTACCTCTAAAACAACACTTGCCTTCTATTAACAAACCTTAGCACCACACAATACATTCTTCTGACAAACCTTGCATGGACATTTTGTTTACATCAACTGAACTGAACTGGTCTGAACAACAACCTTTTTCTTACCACATCTCTTCTAAATGAACTACGTTATGCATTATGAGATATGGGATATAACAAATAGATATGAAGAACTCAGACAATATCCATTTATTTTGCACATACCCTCTTCACACTTCACCGATATAACTTTCAAAGTGTCTAAGGAATGCTTGTATCTGGATCTATATCATCTTGTTAGGAATGATCAACTTTTACAACTACGTAAAACATGCACAGAGTCTTTCTTGTGACTCCTACGTTTTGCTATAGCCTTGTGTGATTTAACCTTCAAGTTGTGTGATTTAACCTTGTGTAAACCACAGCTAAAACCTACACAGAACTAAATAGTTTCTGTACAAAAGGTAAAATTGCTTTCAACTGTGCTGACATGTACAAACAATAGTTGTCACCAAGACAGATATTGTCTTGTCTCAGAAATGTCTATCAAGTATGGGTCCATCAACATGTCAGCTTCTCTGTCTCACTGGATGACTTCAAGAAAAAGTACAGACCTGTACACACATCTCTTCATGTCTCCACTTTTAAATGTCTTCTCAACAATGCCCCTAAATGTCTTCAAAACAACAAGGTTCATCATTTTCCATCTTGACCTAGATAACAAACTTTTACCAGTGTTTAGCACATCTCATAAGTACAGTATACCAGTCAGATACCAACCCTTCAACAACAGTACCTGCCTGATAAGAGTAAATATCAGTATACAGTGTATGTGTACCCTTTCTGACCCTATGGCTGTTTGTATTACTCTATTTACAACATGGATACAGCTAACAATACAAAATATGATACCAGTATCACCTATAAACATGATATACACATGTACATATGCTAACTCTACAATAACAACAGCTATCCCTGGGAAGTAAATGCAGGCACACATTTCAGACTAAAACTTCTCCAAGTCCCTAAGAGCAGATTAAGGTACTTAGTTCAATATTCTATCAAGACTACATCCCTCAAAAGTGGCAATGATTCATTTCTAGTTTAGTGCGAATATTACATGGATGTATTAAAATCATAATTCATTCAACACAATCTGATAATTTACAGGTTATATCGGTTTCCCTCCAAGTTAGTCTGTTTTACACAATATGTTAAGAGTAATTAGTTGGTATTAAGTACACTGAGATAAAGTATTTGACATATGAGGTGTTGTGATTTTGACGTTGTCTCAGCTCTGCCTTGTTGTTGGTTGACATCCATGTGTCTGGAGAGGCCAGGTCTGGGATCCTTGTGCCCTCAGCCAGTGATGTTCTAGTAGAGACAGAATGTACATGTGAGCAATGACATCATATAGTGTCTTTGTTGTGATTAACTCTATGAACCACCAGACAAATGTCTTAAACAGCAACTAGACATAAGGTACATTTTCCATCTTCTCATCCCTTTTTAACCTGCATCAAGGACATCATCAAACTACTCAAAATTCTCAATTGAGCTCTCAAGGGTCTTCCTAATTGGATATTGGGGGTGACTCTTTGGGCGTTACAATGCAAGAAAACAAGGGCCCAACATCCTATGCAGAGAAACAAGGAGGTTGAGTGAAACAACCTGCAAATGTCCTTTAAATAGAGTTTGGATCTTTGAACTTCCTACTGAGAGGTCCACCCATATGCATGAAGCTTGTATCAGGAAGATAAAAGCTGTTTTTCTGTGTGAAAATGGTTCCAAATGTCCCCTACTGTCATAGTCATATTGCACACAACATATGCACCCCTTTTTGGCCTCCTCCATAACATGCTTTAAAGGATCTTTGGATGTTTCTCTCCACTGGACTGGATCCCTCATAAAAGACCATAAGTGAGTAATGGGAGTAAAAGCTACAACAAGGTCACCTGTACACATGTCACTAAAGCACATTCATTCTATCACCTGATCGTAAAAATACTTGTGTAGTACAAGAACTACAGTATCACTTTACATTTGTGGTAGCAAAATTTTGCAGTCTGAGAAAAATAGACATATTTGTGGAAGAAGGCAGGTGCAGATCTAGAAGAAAGGACGTCGGTGAATTATTTGTTTGCAGTAATGATAAATATACATACAGAAGTGACTGCAAAAAAAACGTGAATATAAAAGTAGTCTGTTTTACAGTATATGGTCCATAAAATGTTGCAGAATTAAGTGTCATGTGGTCATTACTGTATAACCTACTCCTCCTGTTCTAATGTGATTTAGTAAGGAAAGGTTTTACATTGAAACCTTTTGGTTCTGTAGATAAGCCCCATAAGGAAACCAAGTTCTGTACCATGTATAATTGGGTAAGACTGCATGACTACTATTCAGACAGAGATCTTCTGATGGCCTCCTCCAACATAGAATCATCATCTGCTTCAAAATCCTGCAGAACAACAAACATCATGATATTGTCAATCTGTAGGCTACATGTACATAGTCTGATATAATACTAACTTGCCAAAAATATTAGCTTCTCAAAAAGACAGTAATACTGTGTAAAACATGGCTTGGTATTGTATGTATTGAGTAGATATGTATAGAGCAATAAAACATTCAAAAGATGCAATTCACAAAATTTTCACTTCATGTAATCTGACATCCACTGCATGCATGAACTAGGAAAAATTGACATTAACATCTCTGTGCACCCACATAAAATCATATAGATAATTGAACTGAGAACTGAGCAAGGACTGGGCCAAAACTATAAAGTATAAGAAGTACAGAGTACTGCATCAGATCTTACCACATATGTGTCATATTCAAACTTGTGCCGGACATTCAGGTGACCGATAAAGTTAGCACTCTTGAAGCTGGGGTCTCCCCACGGCATGGAGGAACATATAGGGCACACCTGGGGGAAAACACACAGTTTGAAAATGGTTCTGCTGTGGAACTAAAAAAAATATTTGTTAAAATTTACAATAATCAACAAAACACAAATGTTAGATTGCGAGTTGGTAGCCACCTACTTGTAGGTTACACAAGGAATGACAAATGCGATAAATTCATGTTATTAATACTGTGTATCTTTTATTACCTAAAATCTGTGTACCGATATCTAAAAAGTGTTTTGAAATCTCTGCAGGCATAGCATTAACAAACTAATGACGGCACAACTAACCACTTGTTTGTTGTCGTCGCGGTGGGCGTCGTTGCAGTGCCTGACCAGCGCGGAACAGTCCAGGTTCTTCAGTCCACAGTACGGGCACATGAACGTGGAGCGGTTAGGCACATTGCTGTGAACAAAACAAAAGCAACAGCTCATGTTTTCCAAAGCTTAACTTTAGAATACTAATACGGATGAAGTAAAAAGGACATGTAAAAAGAATGGTACTCACTGCACAGGTGTGTTTGCAATTATATAATAACCACTGTGTTGGTGGTTTAAAGGTACATACAAAGTGATTTGTAAAAGGTACCAGACGTTGTTACCTTGGAATGGGCTGGGAAGTGGGCGCCACTGGTGAGAACTTGGGCATGGTCTTAGTCAGCTTAGAACAGGAGGAATTGTGGGAACGCATCTTGGCCAGAGACATCTGAAAGTTATATTCATGACAACAGGCATTTTAACATGCAACATATCCTGCAATTGTTACCAAGAACGTTTGCCAACTAGTATGTACTACTAAATCTTCATTCACTAGCATGTAACCTATTACTCTGCCAAAATATGACTGATGTGTTTTACATGAAACTCTAAAAGAATTATCACATCAATTACATAGATGTAACAGACAAAAAGGTGACTCAAAACCTTCAATGTTTACATGTGACTTAAATGACTTATAATTCAGTATGGCCAAGGTTACATACCAGGTCATTGATTATTTCCATGGGGCACATTTTGCAAACCATTCTAATTTTCACACAACATGAAAATTGTTCACATATGTCATAAAAACCAGAAGGCACATCATAATTTTTCAACTTCTTCACCTGCGAACTAGAAGACGTATGGAGATCAAGGAATAAAAATGAGGCAATCATGGCGAAGGCTGCACACCAGGCATTTGGCCGTGCCCATGGGGTGTATTTAGCACACAACAGAGTGACCTGGCCTCTGCACCTCGGTGGCTCCTGATTTATTGTGTATTGATTTTGAAATCTTATCCCATTTATTTGACTACCCAACGTAGTCCTTAAGTACCTAATGGTGGCAACCAGTGAGTGATCAGGGTTTAGAAGGATACTGAAGATACAGTTTGCAATTTCAGTTTTGAATCTTAACTTATTGGAAGGCTTTGAACAGAAGGTCTCCTAATTTTTCAACCTTGACTTTCGAAAACAATCTTGTCCTTATAGTCATACTGAACACAACTTTTTTTATTATTTGCAAACATGTGAGTTGCCATGGTCTTACTGTAATTTATTAGTCTTCTTTAATTTAGAGTCAGGCCAACATTTATCAAGCATTTGGCAATGGGTTTCTTAAAGACCTAGACACCAGACTAGCTGTGAATGATGAGCATCCATGTGTACTCTTGGCTAACATGTAGGAGTCGTCAAGCATAGCTACATTGATTTCCTTGTTGGAGAAATAAATACTACAACAATGAGGTACGGTGGGGAGGGGGGGCAGTGAACTGATCATTCCTCCTACATGGAGACTGCACTGATATCTACCTGCATGCTGGGACATGGACTAAATGGTGACTCAAAAACCTGTTCTGAGCCTTGTTTTACATCTGCAAATAACACAAACAGCTACCTACATTCATACCTACCATTTTTAAAGAATTGCAGGTGGCAGGGTGCCTTCTTTGGGGAGTTAATATGTAAATCCATGAAGCCTGTCTGGCAGGTGGTATGTAATCATTTCCTGTCCTTCAATACAAGTGTGTGTGATATGAATACCATTAAAATGATGTAAAACATATCTCCAAACACGTGCATCCCCAAATAAAGACTAACTGTTGCAAGTGTGACAAAACTGTGCAGATAATGTAACGTTACACTTATTTCACCCCCAATGCTCTTTCAAATTATAGCAATATGGTATGTAGCTTAACTCTCCAATTGCTAAGGGCAATAACTTACTAGGATCAGAGCAGGGAGTAACAATCATCAGGTGACAGTGAGAGGGTTAAAGGGACTTTATAACTGACATGCCCAGACACAAATTGATTACTAAGCTCTGGGGAAACCCACAGATTTTTTAATTAAAGATTTTTTTCCTGACCTTTTTTCCGCAGCCCTTACAGCTCCCCTTGGTGTTGTTGACCTGCTTGTCGATGGAGGAGTTTTTCTTGGCCTTCTGTGGGTCGAACACCTCCCTGCACAGGGGACAGTTTGGGGAGGCCAGCTGCAGACAGGGCGCAATACAGGACGAACAAAACCTGCACAGGGGAAGGGACAGATGTTGAGAGCTTAGAACTGTGGGTTATTTGGAAACTTAAACTCAGCAAGCTGACCACTGTTTATCTCACAAACACAGATGTACTAGTACACAGCACTGGTACACAGTAATGCCTCAAACAATCTGTCATTGCATTGTAATGAAGATTGGCAGCTAGCTACATGTACATGCTGTGCATGCAAACTGCCTTCAATACACCATATCTAATAGCAAAGGGAATGTAATCAGCCATCTGATGATGATGATGGTGATGATGAAACTTGTAGCAGATATTGGGATCACAAATACATTGTGCGTTTCGCACTACTCCATTTTTCTGACAGGCTATCTGGGGAGAAAATCGACCAGGAAGAAGATATCATGATTTTTCATCCCATCATCTGCTTGGATGTTGAGACATCACCATTACACTGTGTAATTGGCTAGTATAATTAAGGATGTACGTTATATAACACGATGACTTACTGTAATTACTGTCTTCTCAACATACACATATTTCATAGTCCATACACAAATTTCATAATCACTCACCAGTCTTAGCTAATGTCCCACAAAGGCACACTTAATCTTTCTGGCATCTTATGGTTCAATAATCTAATTATTAACGTTAATGGTGAAGGTTCTGGTATGGATTGCAGATTACCTGCAAGCCAGTTACTTTAATGTTTAACACTTCTCCTATAAGTACCCTTTTAAATCCATTCTGCCCCCCTCCCCATTTCCTTCAGCTCTGCCTTTGTTCTGTGAATCGTGATTTCACAAGGAAGAGATGGAATTAATGCACATGTATGATGAGGTGACATGAATGTAGTAAACACGCTGATTAAAGCTGTCACCTTGCACCCAAGGCTGGGAATCAAGATTTCGATTTTGGTGCGGACCAAACCACAGGCAGGATCTATACCCGATACAACCAATCTGTCTGGCATGTCATGGGGAGGTGGCAAGGATATTATAACGGGCCCGCTTGGTTAGCTAGCAAGCTTGCAACGTTGTGTCAAAAATCCCAGAAAAACAGCGAGTACTTACGTGTGGCCACACGACGTCGTGACGGGCTTCAGGAAGATCTCGAGGCAGATGGAGCACGTCAGAGCTTCTATCGTCGGTTCCCCGCCGGTGGCCATCGCAGAAACGTCCGGAATCGGCCAAGAAATACCCACCAAAATCCTTTGTTTTGGTTCCTTTCGTTTCGAGGGGTTCTGACGAAATCACTTCCGGACTGCAGACTATTTCCGGTTTGCCTCGTTTTAGGGTTAGACTAAACTTTGACCTCTTTGAATTTCTGGCGCGAAATGCTTCGGACTGATCTGAATGGAATCCCACTTATGTTGGGCAAGTTCAAGCAAGGGTGTTGGTTGGTTGTATTTTTGGACTGATTTAAAGCTTTGAATGCTAGCATTGAAAATTACAATAACCTAAACGGAAGTGAAGATTAGGCATATAAATTACTTGATATGTGATCCAAGTTGGTTTCAAATTTCAATAACGAATAGGGCGACGTAAAACGCACGCGGAGATTATCCCAAATTATTTTGACAGAAGGATGGCAGTTAAGATATTTCTGTCTTTGCCAATTAACGTTTCACATGGCCATAGAATGTCATCCTTATAAATTGAAATGGACGTATGTGACATATGGTTCTGTACATTAATAATTCATTTTTTTTTAAGCTGAAAACTATCTAAACCTCCTTGTAAGAAACAATTCTAAATCGTCACCCGCCTCTACTAAATAGTAACTAATCTTTAATCCAAACTTTGCTGTGCAAACAAAAAAGAGGAGACCCGGGTATGGTGTTGTCTCCACCCAACGAGTTTGGACTCATGCGACCCGTGCAAAGTGGGACCAGCTAACATGGATGAGCCCGCCTGGTGCTATATAAAGCCGTGACCGGTGTCAGGGGAAGATAAAATGGACCCTCTGATAGCGGAACACAGTGTGGCTGTGTTGGACAAACTGCGTCAGCACAGGCAGAATGGACTCTTCACAGACGTCACGATCACGGTGGGGAAAACTGTGTTCCCGGCACACAGGTGAGACGTGACCCGCAGAGGGCGACACACATCCGCGTGTAATCTTAGCTTTATACGGACCCTACATCACGAGCCTACGGCTCTGTCCTGTTGTTTTATGGTCCCACGTTAACGTTAATGGAGTTTTGCCCATAAGGCACTAACACCCTGAAATGGCAGCCAGCTTTTTTATGTATGCTAAACGGATAGCGTCTGTTGACAACGACACGTAAGACCACGACTTGCTGATAGCAGTCTGTTATGATGAATAAAATATGCCCATCATGACGACACACCGCTGGGTTTTCTTTGTCCCGAAAGGTCAGTTTTCTCTCCCCCACAGCTGTTGTGTGGTGATTGTGTTGTTTTACGAGAATTTTACGCAAACTCAGCTACCATAAACGTAGCAGGATAAGGCATTTACTGGTTTGTAAAGCGACCCAGATGCTAAAATATAACACAACGTGCGTAAAGCAGCGTATCATGTTGGGTCAGTTGCTGTCATGAAATGATACGACATAGCATGAAGGTCACAGGGCGAGAGTGGTGCATCCTTACCGTACAGTATAACAATGGAAAATCCGATTAAGAAATCAACATATTGGTAGGTCCCAGGACCCCCACGTTTTAAATTCCGATGCTTAACTAATAACTTTAACTAATTAGGTCATTGGTGGGCCCCAGGAAATCAAGACAAAACAAAGATGACATAACGTCGCTGTCGTAGTATCATGGGTTAATAACGCTTCGTAGTTTTTTCATTCCAATATTTCAGTTACAAGACATGGTGACGGCACACTCAAGTTTTATCAACTTTTATTTATACCGCCACGGACGCAGACAAACACATGAACGGACAACAGACATACTCATTTTCACCTGAGTGAAGTGAGAAAATTCGTGTTAATTGCCTTTCCCATGGCAGGATTCGAACTTGGGACCTCTTGGCCATGGTTCTAAGCCGAACGCTCTGTTGTTATGCCACACGACCTTTCGTAGTTAAGTATGAAGTTCTATGTAAAAGATTGTGCAGACTCCCACCTATATCTACTTCTATTCCCCAGGAATGTCCTGTCCGCGTCCTGTCCGTACTTCGAGGCGCTGTTCTCGTCTCAGATGTCGGAGAGTCGGTCCGACAACATCCCCATAACCTTCACCAGTCCTCAGGCCATGGAGGCCATCCTGGACTACCTCTACATCGGCAGAATTGAGGTACAGTTTAACAGTTGTGTACCTTTATAGTTCACCTCTTAAAATTAAGTCATTTCTACATGCCGGAGTTCTGCCCAAACATAGGTAACTGTGTCAGCATTTTCGTGTGTAAAAGTGGTAAGCAAGTAGACTTCTATTGGCAATATACAACTAATGCAGGCATTCTTATATTTCCGTATCAATTTTTGATCTAAACCACAAGTACCTTAATATTTTCTCAGATTGAAATTCAAACCGCAAGAGACCAAGTGTGCGCCATTTTGGTCAAAAAAGTATATGCAATACTTAAATCGCAATTATATGATGTACAAAAGAAATAGAAGTAGTTAGTCTAAAGAGCAGTTTTCTGCAGGTTGCCCCTGACAATGTTGAAGAAGTGTTGATGGCCGCTGACCAGCTCCTGTTAACCAACCTGAAGAACATCTGCTCGGAGTTCCTGCAGCAGAACCTGACCATCAAAGACTGTCTGTACATCAAGGTGCTGGCAGATCTGTACGGCCTGGAGGAGCTCTTCCAGAGGGCCAGCAAGTTTATACAGGTAAAGACTCCTCCTGGAACTTTTGCGGAAGGAGAGAATAAAATACCGAAGCACCGTTTAGCAGATTTGCCCCATTATCTTACAAAGTTAATGGAGGGGAAAATAAAGTGAGTAACAGTATGGTGCAAAGAGAAACAGTTTTTAATCTTTCTTTCTTTCTTTCTATTTCTTTCCCTTTCTTTCTCTAAATTTTCCATTGCAAATTTCACTACTTTGACCGTATTTTGAAATATCGATGAAAACAAAGCCATTGTCTCATGGAAGCAAATCACTTCCTTCCCCAGGACTATTTTGACGCAGTGATCTGCAATGACGACATGATGTTAGCCTCTTTCGAGACGATTCTGGAACTGATCTCAGACGACAAGGCGCGTGTCCTCAAAGAGGAGTCTGTGTTCGAGACTATCGTCAGATGGACAGAGTACGACCTGTCCAACAGGAAGGAGTACTTTCCCAAACTGATGGGCCAGGTATGTACAATGTATACACACTAACATCTAGGTATGACACAAAATGCTTAAATTTTATTTAAAAAAACTGAATTCTAAGATTAAGACCTTCAGGACTCTCGATTATGAAATTCGTAATCATATTCTAATAACAGGTGTTCTCATAACAAATTTCGTGTTGCCTGTGTAACGAGAATCTCGTTTTAAGTTTTACTACAATAGAACGGTGCTTTTTGTTCTATCTGGGGTTATATTGCTACTGCTATGACCGTGTTTTATCCTGCTCTCAGGTCCGACTGGTTCAGCTGGATGAGAAGTACCTACTGGAGACGGTACAGAACCACCCCCTGGTGAAGGACTGTAAGGAGTGCAGGGAGTACCTGTACGAACTCATGCGGTCATACGTCATGTCAGAGGTACGGACCCTAATTTAGGGTTATGAAACCCTAATTTAGGGTAATTTAGGTGCACTTGAGACCTCATATCATGACACAGAGGAGTTAGAATGAGCCTTGCTTTGTTGAAGATTACGTCAGACGTCAGTTTATCGGGTTATTATCTAGTCTTTTGTTTTGATTTGTCATCGTTTTGTCCTCAGATCGACCCTAAAACCGAGATGTCCGGCAGTGTCCGACTGAAACCCCGCCAGGGCCGGCTGACCAAGGTGGTGGTGACGGTAGGAGGGGAGTCAGAGGAAGGTAAGGACGCGGGTCAGAACAAGTTGCATTCATCAGCACGATAATATGACTGCAAGAATCTGATGGAAAATGATGATGCTAGTATATCATACCAGGTCGCCACGGAAAGGTGTGGCCGCAAGTTCCAGCTTGTCAAAAAGCGCATTTCAATCAATCTAAATTGTTTGTAACCCTGTCGTCAGATGAAGTCCTAAAAAAGTCCCAAAACATAAATTTCCTAACTTTGTGGAATACCCAACATGCTGTAAAGCGTGTACTGTGGCTCTGACTTGTAGTCCAACTACGAGATCGAAATTGATGTTGAACCATATGGTATCATACATAATAGATAATTGAATCATGAATACGGATTCATCGACTGTTAGAATTACTATACGTATTACTGAAATATGTGTGTCACATCAAGCGTGGTCGGATTTTCAGGCTCTCTGAAGACAGTGAATGGGTTCGTTATTGACGAGAACCGCTGGGTGGCGCTGCCGGACCTGCCGATGCCGGTGTTCGGCCACGCCATCGCCCTGCTGGACGGGTGTGCGTACGTGGTGGGCGGGACCTGTGCACGATCGGTCTACAAGTAAGACTCCTCACAACCCACCTGCTTATCTAGGAGCCAAAAATTCTTACTGTGTACCAAGGGCAGGCAGGCATGCTAGTCTGTGTGAATAGTGTTTAGTACCAAGGACAGGCACGTTAGTCTGTGTGAATAGTGTTCAGTACCAAGGACAGGCACGTTAGTCTGTGTGAATAGTGTTCAGTACCAAGGACAGGCACGTTAGTCTGTGTGAATAGTGTTCAGTACCTAGGACAGGCATGTTAGTCTGTGTGGATAGTGTTAAGTGCCAAGGACGGGCATGTTAGTCTGTGACGACCGTATTTAGTACCAAGGACAGGCATATAGTTTGTGTGGATAGTGTTCTGTACCAAGGACAGGCATGTTAGTCTGTTTGAAAAGTGTTCAGTACCACAGATGGCCTTGTTAGTCACAAAAGTATAAATATGCCGGTCAGTTGAGGTTGATAGTAAGCTGTTGTCGTTAAGTAGACGTAAAATACCATAACGTTATATTTGTTTTTTAATGACCATACGCATGTTTATGATTGAGAGCATCGTTTTGAACACAGGCTAGACGAAAATAAATAGAATAGTACTTTTGTGTTTGTCACCGGTGTTTTTGTGTAATATTAAACCGTTACCACATGTCCCGCAGATATGACCCGCTGAACAACTCCTGGTCTTCCGTAGCAGACATGAACATCCCCCGCCTGCTGCTGTCTGTAGTGGTCTGCGACAGACAGCTGTATGCCATAGGTGAACTTCATCTAAATCTTCGCACGTAAATAATAAAAACCAATACAAAGTGAAATACACAGGAAGAGTGTGCTGGGGAAGGCAGAGACCAATTTGGCCTATCCGAGGCCTTCCTCACAACTAAACCAAAACAAGGAAGCACCTGTAGCTACGTAGCAAAAACGATGAATAGAAATAACAATACATAGCTGGTCGTTAAATCAACATTTGAATCAATAAACAAAATAATCAGTCTGAAAATAATAATAACAATAATAACTGATAACAATTAAGTAAGAAAGTAAAAACTAAATAACAACTAATAACATGATCCTAATATATGATTGCTATACAGAAGAACTGAACAGAAGAAATATATGTATGGTTGTTTCCCCAGGTGGCTGTATCTCCTCGGAGATGTTCCTGGACTCCGTGGAGGTGTATGACCCTCAGGAGGACGACTGGCAGCCGATCGCCAGCATGCAGACGCCCCGCTGTCTCACCCAGTGTGTGGCGCGGGACGAGAGACACATCTACACTGTCAGTGGGTGGCGGGGCGGTACCAACATCAGTAACGCCATAGAGAGGTACCGAGACATTTAATTATGAGCTTTGAACAATATAACTGCACTCGTACTAAGTGTTTGGAAATGGCATATATACGGTGGTAAGTACGCATAGCATTGTACAACGTTAAAAAGCATCTCTTTCCGAAAAGTAAGGCCTGTGTCATTGTTGTAGCCTGGGTACCATCCGGATTTTCGCTACGCAACGCTCGAAAAAATCTTTTCGAGCGTTGCGTAGCGAAAATCCGGATGGTACCCAGGCTATCATATATATTGTTGAGCTTGATACATATGTGTATAATTCATTGAAGCAAACCTTGAGCAAAGTTAATTTGCCCTGTATATCTCTTTCCCCGTATGACACTAACAGATATGACCTAAGAGACGACACCTGGTCACTGCTGCCTCCGTATGAAGAACCATTTCCCATCATTCCTCACATCATGTTGCTAGGCAACAACATCCACATGACCTTCCTGGGTCAGAAGGTTCTTCACTTCAACACGGAGGACAACACGTGGAAAGTATCGAAAGAGGTTAGTCCCCATGTTTCACAATTATACTAAAATAGCCATTTCCACGTACTTTTGTCTTTTTAATTTATATATTGACATCTATTGTAAAATGAGATTGATGCACGTGCGCTGAGCCTACCTGATCGCCACTCGATTTAGAATAGCCCCACTGATAGAATGTGCCATTCACAGGTTGTCCCTGCAATACCGCGTGAACCCGCCAGGCGGTACCCCGCCGCCTGTATGGACAGCGGGGACTTGTTCGTGTGTGGAGGGAGGACGCGTGATAAGTTACTGGACACGGGATTCCTGTATGTCGGCGCCGTGAAGGAATGGTACTCCATCGCCAAAATGGCCAAACCTACAACAGGTCAGACATCGCTTTGGTAATTAATAAAAATAAACAAACTGGAAGGGACGGTGGTTTAGAATCATATAAGTAAACGACAGGAGTAAATGAAGGACATTTACACAAGGCACAAACAATTCACCGAATAGGATATAGGGATTTTATTCTTACATAACCGGTAGTATTTCTCTCCTGCTTACGTTTCGATGCCTATCAGGCATTTTCCTCAGAGCTTCTGACTGAACACACATATTCGGAACTTACCGAATAGTCACGTTGGCATTTACACTCACCAATTCCATCTCTACTCTGTTTTCTAGCTTAACTCAGATAAAGAAGAGATTATACGTATGATACTTGTAAACTGTCCAAAACAGATATAGCTTGAAGCTAAAGCATGTTGTTTACACGTATATGGTTCCAATCCTTCCTCTTCCCTACAGGTGCCGTGTGCACAGTGACCCCCATCCCGTACGAGTTTGTAAAGGCGGCAGACGCACCCAAACCTACAGAAAAGGCTTCTCAGACAGACTCAGCGGAGGGAAAGGGTGACCAAGGGGAAGAAGAAACACGAGAAAGGGATGGAGGGCATGAGGAAGAGGTGGGGGCTGTGGGAGGGGGACCTGAACAATGAACTATGCTTTGTATATTTCGTACATGTACTATCAACATCCAGATATTCATTCAATCTGTTTCAGATGAATAGGAAAATGAGTTTATGTATGTATGTATGTAGGTATGATTATGTTGCCTTTACTTCAAAAGCAAAGTGACAGTGTATATAAAAGATCTAGATAGAATGTACTGGTTCTGATATGTATGAATCTATATACATCATATTGAGCTGAAATTATGTGAAACAGGCACGTTAGCCTGTGTCAATCATGTTTAGCACACCAAGGACAGACATGCTAGTCTGTATGGATAGTGTTCAGCACCAAGGACAGACATGCTAGTCTGTGTGGATAGTGTTCAGCACCAAGGACAGACATGCTAGTCTGTGTATAGTGTTCAGTACCAAGGACAGACATGCTAGTCTGTGTGGATAGTGTTCAGCACCAAGGACAGACATGCTAGTCTGTGTGGATAGTATTCAGCACCAAGGACAGACATGCTAGTCTGTGTGGATAGTGTTCAGCACCAAGGACAGACATGCTAGTCTGTGTATAGTGTTCAGTACCAAGGACAGACATGCTAGTCTGTGTGGATAGTGTTCAGCACCAAGGACAGACATGCTAGTCTGTGTGGAGAGTGTTCAGCACCAAGGACAGACATGCTAGTCTGTGTGGATAGTGTTCAGCACCAAGGACAGACATGCTAGTCTGTGTGGATAGTGTTCAGCACCATGAACAGACAAAAAATGGGTAAATGGGAAAACATTGAAAATGTGGAGAAAAAATGAAATAGTGGTCTTGAGAAGTTGCTTTATTCCATAATATTTTGACATTTTTGTACGACATTGTGTATATACATAGTAAACTTGCAATACAATCTGCTTTTACTTACATCTACAGAAGAAATTTACACATAATTCTGTTCAGTGAGATGCCTTTCATTGTATATATACACTCAATAAAGATGCAGACATTGAACTACAAAAGATAAAAATGTGACGGATTTTAAATCTAAGCAGCACAAAACAGCAGCAACATATTCTACACACATTCTCGTCTTCATGACTGCTGCAACATCAATAGTCAGCTGTGCAAATATCTTCATATATCAATGAAACATTTCCCACAAAGAAAACGTATACAACAGAGTAGGTTTGCCCTCAGAAGACATACTTGTAAACCTTTATACAACTTGTAGTAAGATTACGTTGCTCCAACTTTCATAATCTTGAAGAGGGCATCAATGTTGTGAGTCTTGAAGGCTTCCCTGCATGCGTTCACCACAATCGTCTTTGGTCGGCCAACTGGAAGGAACAGGGCAACTTGTGAATACAGATCTGTCATCTCCCATAAAGATTAACATGGGTTGGCCAAAATGTTTGAATGCTACATCATTGACAAACAACTACATATGGGGTTAGAGAACCAGAAAATAACCAATATTATGGTACATGGAGTCTAATTCAAAACATATAAAATACAGTTGGTAAAATTCCAGAAAAGCTCAGTTTAGGAGAGGAAACATATTTTGTATACCTCTGAGCCTGCCTGCCCTCTGGATGGCCTGGTTGACCAGTTTGAGACAGGACAGCAGTTCTGTGTGGTTGTTACAGCGGATCTTGTACCCGTTGATCAGGTCCCTGTTCAGGTCAAACAGCTCCATGTAGTACTTCCTCATGTTCTTCCTGTAGACAACAACAGTTGTAAGAGGATATATTCTGCATTGTTGAACCACACTATTGGCTATCTAACATGATCAAGTTATTATTTGCTTTCGGGTAAAAATCTTAACAAAAAAATTTAAAGCCTTCAGCCAAAAAGGGCTGATTTCCAAAGGAGCAGGATACAATGTGGTAATGTAACATAAAATAATGATTAAACATAGGAACACAAGTAAATCAATTTGCCAATAAAAGGAACTCAAATGATTTCTACATATCCTCTTCTGATAGTCTCACATTTTGACTTAAATGATTCACAGGTTGTCAAAAACCAACCAAGGAAACCTAAACTAACACTAGGCTAAGTCGTGTAAGTCATGACCAACTGACCAGTCAGCGAGAATCCTGGCATCCTCTGCCCTGACCACCATGCTGCGGATCAGGTTGGAGTGGTCAGCCATCTCAGCGGTCAGTTTCTGTCTCACCGAGCTGAACTCATCCACCTGGTCAGGAAAAGATCACAATGTTACCATAAACTTTTAACTGTGGAAAAGCCATTGTCTGCTGCTTGTCAGAAGTGTACATATCAAAAGCTGTTCATATCTTGTGAATAATTCCAGCCAGTGTTCTAGCCACTGTCCGTCATTCCATTTGCCGCTCATGATGGACAAAAATCACCAGATAAAATCACCTTCACAAAAATCAAGATGAAACCGTTCTTCCTGTAAGTTTTCATCAAAAGACATGTCGCTAAACTAAGCTTAGTCTACCAGCAAAGTTTGCCCCCTCAAAATGCAGGAAATAGCATTTCAGAAGGTCCTGACTTAAACATTTTCCCAGGGGAGCATGTCCTTGGATTCACAATGCCTCGCACTCGACATGATGTTACACTAAGATGACTGACTAGAACACTGCTTCCAACTGATGATGGTACTCTACTAGAGACTGCAAAAACAACAGCTCCTACTCTCCCCAGTTTGTCCCACCTTGATGAGAATGTTCTTGAGCTCCTCCATGTATCCGGGGAAGTCTGAGGTGACCTGAAGGTCCTCGATACCCAGGAACACTGCCATTGACTGGATCACTTCACCTGCCAGGTCCATGTCATCTGTCTTGATGGTCACCTGTCAATCACATGTCAAACAGGAAAGAACTTGTTACAACAACAGAAAAGTAACCATGATTTATATATTTAGATGTATATTTATATATGTATAGATTTTATATTGATGTATCATACAAAAAGGCTGTTTGAATTTAACATAATCTACGAATTGTACCTAGAGCTTCAACCTACATTTTAACTAAGCAACATCTCTTGACCTTAATCTTTCTTTAGTCTTTATTTCAGGCATCAATGGCCTATATAAAATAAAACATACAAATAAAAATACACATGATATCAGCAATTAAAATACAAACTAAGAATACAGACAGACCCAGTCATTGTGGAAGAATTTGTTGCTGAAGATTACATTGGAGTTGACAACGGATTGGATGATGTTATTTGAGGAGTTGTACAGAGATATGAACGATATGAATAGAGATATGAATAGCATTGTTTGCATTATTCTAGGAAATTAAGGTTAGCACACCTGTAGTCATACTGCATCTGACAACCAAAGAAATGCAGAAGTCTGCTAATGTTACCAATGACACAAATATCCTGAGGTGTGTTTGTAACAATTGTTCTGGACTACACTGAGACCAGGCTCTGACCTGCCCATTGCCCTCCATGTGGATGACCAGTGCTCCTGTCCCCCTCAGACTGACCACTTGGAAGTGAAGCGGGGCTCCTGCCGGCCACTCATCGGTCAGCAGGAAATTCTGATTAATCCACAGGACAACCTAGACAACAAGAAACACTATCAAGTCTTCCCTTAGTCATTCTTATGATGTATACTGTTATACACAAAAAAATAAAAAAATCTGTCACAAGAGCACATTCTACTCCAGTCTACTGAAAGTCCACAACATTTTAACATACTGTAAATCACAATTTTTGTGGTACTCTTGCAATGTATTTTCGCAGTCACTCCTGTAGCACGAACTTATCATTACCATGAAAAAATAATTCGCTGACTTTCTTTTTCCTGCACCTGCCGCCACTGCGTATATATAGTTCCACGAACATGTCCATTTTTCTCATACCAAAAACTTTTGCTACCGCGAACATAAAGGGACTAACAGTACCCTTTCCCTACTAATATTGTAATGAGAACACCTTCATTCCATATTACACAAGGAAGCACGGTGAGGAATTAAAAGTGAAACAAACCCTCTGTACTCTCTCCTGTACTGTGAAGGTGACGGTGCCCTGTGGTTCCTGGGGAAGCTTGGCGCAGGGGATGTACATGGAAAACCTGGGCAGCTGCCGTGTGATCTCAAACACATGGAACTGGGTACTGTAAGGTGGCAAATGTTTGGTTAAAGACAATCTTTTAGGTTGATATACAGTAGAGAATATGAACACAGGCAAACAAGACTGCTCACATGGATACTACATACTCCACAAAAAAAAATGCTGATTCGCAACTTGACCCTTTACAGAATAAACAAGAGCTTGGAGACCCACCTGCCCTTCATGCCCACAAAGGCCTTGATGTGCAGGTCTACAGGAACATCCTTAGGAGGGGTGATGGGAACCTTCAGCTCACTGGACAGGTTGTTTACATTGGGATGGCTGCAAGAGGAAAATAACACACAACATACTGTTATTACTAACCAATTCATTATACATGTAGGTAGCGTCTCCCACACTATCAGTTTGACTATAGATGACATGACAGGAACTGATAAGCAATAAAAAAAAGGATCAAAGAAAAGATATCTTACACCACATGGCTCTCTCCTTCAAAGATGCCCTCGGCAAATATGAGTGCTGTTCTCAGGATGGTTTCTGCAGAAATACAAGTAATAACAATAATTCTTTACAATTGCAAATGATTATGAATTGAAAATACAGCTGAAGACCTTAAAAGTTTGATTTGGGGAAAGACAATGATTTAAGAATCACCGATGCTTACAGAATCCTTGATGCTTACATGATAGTACAAATAGGGCAGAAGATGCACAAATGTGATAGCAAGACAGTTCTACAAATGGCAAAATATACTGCAATACGTTGTACTAACAAATACTTTTAAACTGTAAATCATGGGCAGAAACATCCATCTTACCGTTAGTGGTTGCCACAAAAAGTTCCACATGAGGCTGTTAAAAATGAAAGGAGGACAGTGAAAACAATTTACTTCCAGATACTTTAATCAAGAAAATCTACAGGCTTTTATAAATTCCTGTTTGTTGTTAACTCTGCAAAACTGCAAAAAACAATACATATATGTACCAGTATTTGTCACTACAACTTTCAATCAACAGGCAAGTAATGTCCTTGTTGTTGAATCTTTTAACAAAATTTAGCAGAAAGATCACCACAGATCATGTACAACAAGAATGTCAGAAAATACACTTAGAAGTAGTTCAGAAGTAAGAATGAATGTTGACTCCTTACCGGGTGTTTTTCATCCCCTGGGTCCACAGTCAGTGATGTCTGAAGCTGTGTGTTTGCCTGGACAAAAAAAACAACTCATTTTACACATCAACATTGACAGTAAGAGAAGGACTGCAAAATTGTCAAATTAACATATTCAGCACAATGGGATTCCTTTCTAACTGTTGTTACAGTGACATTTTAATCCATTATCAATATCACTTCTGCCATCATTTTCTAATGACAGAAATACAATTCTATAAAAGGGCAAAGCACTAGTTGTACCAGTATTTCTGATACAAACGTCTGAAGGACTGTAAGATGATTACTTACAGGGATGATGCCCATCTGTCCTGTATCCATCCCTCCCAGTCCTGATGGTCGATTGCTCTGTGCAGCCTGGGTAACACACATCAGGAAAAGTTAGTACAGGAGCCATTGGTGCTACTACTTGGTGAACTGAAAGAAGGAAAAGTATAGCAGTGTAAGAAAGCAAGCTGCAGAGGGATAAGAAAAAGAGAAGCAGTCCTACCGCTCTGCCTTTGTAGAAGAACTTGGTCAGCTGCAAGTCAAGAGAGAACCAGAGAGATAGAAAATGTGCATTTAAAGTCTGTGTTAAAGGTCAAGCATAGTTCACAGCAATTAAGGAAACAGAATAATATAAAGAAGCCATGCAGTGTAGTGTCTACTGTACATCTTCAGTTGGACTATGACAACCCTGGCAAATAATGAAGCCATTTGTCCATACAATGTACATGTTAGTAGCTCATTATCAAAGAAGTGATGAACAAACACTTTGTAGGCCTCTTACAAAGTTTGTATTTCAGGAAAAGCTGTATCATGGATGAAATCAAGCAATAATCAGCCCATCCTCACATGAACACTAGACTATACAGAGTCTGACTGTACAATGAAATTTAACAGAGACCACGACATGCATTGTCCTACCACATCTGGCTCTTGCTTTACTGATAACCGCTGGGTGCACATGCAGAGTGCACATGCAGGGGAAAGAGAAGTAGTGAGGTATGTCCATTATCCTTAATGTTTTGCAGAGGTCTTATATTGCAACAGACACAATATAACAAAAGTTGATTTATGTCTTTTTTGATGCTACCATTCTACTGTTGTAAACTATAATGGCTGTATGTGTTTTTGTGGGCTTCAATTGAATAAGAAGACAGATCATAGGATAGCAGAAGACTGCAAAGTGGAGCAGAAGATGAAGTTGTAGAGTTTGCCAGCAAAGAAACAAAAAGACACCGGTCCAGTCCAAGATTTTGTGTTCCAGGATGATTCCAAGGCAGCAATAATATGCAATTTGGTTTTTAAGGCAGTATAGTCACTGGTTTGAAGAAATTCAGAATGTAATAGATATTCCAGTACAAGACAGTTACACAATTTCAATGGAAATTCACAAATTACATGTTGACTTACCCTGGCATTCTCTTCATAATTCTTCAACTCTAGCAACAAGTTCTGTGGAAGAACATGGCAGTTAATGAGAACTCTGTGACAAAGCAACTATTCTTGTTATTATTATTATTGTAAGTCAGCAAAACCTATACACAGGTAAGGGCATATATACAGCTCAGCCACCCGAATGTTATGTACTCATACTGTCAAAGGCTATCTGATTATTGAATTCTTCAGATGTGAAAGAAGTTTTGTTGATCCTACATGTACAAACTGTATATCCCTACTTTTAGCTCAAGACAAAACAATTTTAGACTGAGGAGGCGTGTTTCCCATACACAGTACTCAGTCTCAAAAACTATAATTCAACATGTGTACTGAAATCTGCAGAAATGTAAAATTCACTGACTGATAGTGTAAGGTAACTGAGACATCTACAGCAGTGGTAACCTGCTGACCTGTTTGCGCTGACTCAGCTCCCTGACGGCGTCCTGTTCTGTGTTTGTGTCCATCAGGTTCCCCTTCAGGTCCCTACTAGCCGGGAGATAGCCACGTACTGTAGGAAACAACCAGAGACATGTCACTTATGGTTTCAACATCCACATCTTATCCTAATTCTGTATATGTATGTATAAGTACATTTTTTGTCCACAAATGTACTAGTCAACAGAATTGACTCAGCTTACAAATGTGCCCTATGTGGCAGAGACTGCTATTCACGTATAGGACTGTTCAGCCATAACCAAAGCTGTAGGGCTGTGATCAATTAGGATTGTACCATAGTCAATACTGACCAAAATTAGAATCACAACGATTACATTGTCACTTTTTACTCCTTGTGTGTTATCACATAATGGTATCTACATGTTTAATCAACTTCAAACATATATAAGCCCTTTCCTGAGAAATGTTTGCATTGTGGTTTACTTTAATTTTATCACACCATCCTCTCTCACCTTCTCCATCTACTGCACAGCAGATGAGTTCTGTCTTCCCATCCATCCTGTAGTCACCCTACATGGGAGAAAGGACAACGTTGCCATGGTTTAATGCACTATAATTTGCTATGTGAAATTCACTTTCATGTTAAATTCTGGTGATATTTCTACCACACAGCATAAATCACTTCACACTAGCTTAGATCTGGAAGAAAATTTCACTTGAGAAATTGGCACAAGTTTTGATTTTACTATACATGTTTTAAATGATGTTGACAAAAGACTTTGAACACACCTCCACTATCCCTGCCAGGGACACTGAGAAGTTGTCTTTGAAGATGACCTCTCCGGTCCTGTCACTTCGTGCATCAATCTACAGAAGTAAGACAAACAGTATGTTTGTTATATAGATCTTTAACATATAATGAAAAAAAAACAACCCAAAACAGCCAAAAACAACACCATTGGACTGATTCTAATTGGAAGCTATAAACTGAGCTGTTGCTGATGTTGGCCAAAGAACATTCTATCTGACACACACACAAGTTTATTTTGTCGTCCATATATCCAGTCAGTCTGCCATATTATCTCTATTATTTAGCGTTTACTTTTCCTTTTTCCCAAAGACATCTTCTCCTGCATGGACAAATGTAAGTACATACCTTCCCATTGGACCATCCTGTGATAAGTTCAGGAACCCCGTCTGAATCCAGGTCAAAAGCATGGATAGCAATAGCTTGGTTCTTGGACTGGGGAGATAGAAAAGGGGAACCAGATTATATACAAAAATCACCAGAATTATGTGTACAGTCTGAACTGAAACATTCAAACCATGTTAGACTAAAGCCTCTGCTGTTCTACACCTACTTATACAGACATTTTCAAGGTTTTAGATTTCTTGAAGTTGTTATGTTTGTTCTTGGCACTATTGAACATGCCATGATATTTATGATGAATAATTTGAGCAATCAATCTACACTGGAACGGATGAAAGGGTACCTTGATTCTCCAGTATCTGGCTGTACGGTCATAAACTCCCACAGTTCCATTGGCTAAGGCATACCCAAACCTGCTATGCATCATGGGACACAGCAAAGTGATGGCCTGTATAAGGACAACAGAGCATTACAGCATTACTGCTAAATGAAAATGTTGTTGGGTGCTTGTGACATTCATACAGCCTCTTAAACATAGAGTAGAATTGTAGCTGTACAATACAACTACCGAACATTTGAAATTTCCAGTTCATACATATGGCTATTTACAACAATTGCTGAACATGTAATGAATAATACATGCATGTAGTGTTTGATATTTTTTCTATAGAACAGATATGAAGGAATAAAAAGGTTTCCTGACCTCTGTTTCTGTCATTTCTGCGATGATCTCATCATCTTGGAAAACCCTGATGTCGTAGTCCTCTGAACCAACTATCAACTGAAACGTGGACAAAACATGTAAAAAATCAAGATCTATAGTACAACAAATAAGTTTCATCAGGTATGGACCACAATTTTGTTCTCTTCCTTCCCCCATCAACTTTCTTGTACCTACTCCTTCTTACGCTATGGTATAAGGTTGTTACACAGGCCCTCTACAATTCTTCTTAGTTATTTACACTCCCAGAATTAGATAAATCATATAGAAGAAGGCATAAAAGTTCTGTGACAATACCTCCATCTTGCCATCGTTGGTGAAATCACACAGAGCGAGTGAACACACGTTGTCACCAGTCACGGTCCAGAATACATCATTCCCCTCCAGGTCAAAACCCTGGATGGCACAGTTGCCCCCGACAACAGCCAATGGCATCTCTACTGTTCCCAAGGAGCCGACAACAACAGCGTTTACTCCATCTGGTGTCTAGAAGAGAAAGAGGTATTAGCAAACATGAAACAGTAAACAATGCATAGAAATTTTTGTGTGGTGAGATGGAAATTTATGATGGCAAAGGCTGTAGATGAAATCTTGTACGTGTATGTGCATTTTGCATATTTCTTTCAACATTCTATCAAGTGAGTATATGACAATATTCAGCAGTTGAGCTCACATCCTTGTAGAAGAGGTCGGAGTTGTTGATGACATCGTAGGCCAGCAGGTTAGTCTGTGTGCCGACCAGCAGACTGTCACAGTTGGACGTGGGGTCCAGCTTCCCCGCGCTGACCGCGCTGACCGCCTGCTGGATGTTCAGCAGACTGATGTCCGAGTTCTCCCCGGACACAGACATGCGCCCGCTGGCAATGCCTCGGTTGTGGGCATTGTGGATGAAGACCTGAAGAAAAGTGGTCATGATTATGATTAATGATATGACCATAACAAAGATATTGTTATACACTCATTCTGGAAAGGTATACATATCATAGCTAGTTGCTATCAAAGGCACACACAAAAAAATACTTATACTATTTGGGCAACAGTTCAAATCATGTAATTAAATGCACAAAAACATGACTTCAGAGGTCAAATGCTGCTGTATGGTCACAAGTAGCAGTGTGGTAGAGCTCCATCCAATTTCAATAGGGTATAATACAATATAATGTTACATCACTCAAGGAGTTGCATTCAAAATGTACACATTTGTATTATTACCATTTATAGTTGTAAAGACATTAAAAAAATATCGTCTGCTGAACATCGTGAAAGCATTACATTACAGTACCTTCCCAGCTGTAGTAGCTGCAGTGAGACAGGGGTGCTGACCATCGTAACACCCGATAGTCAACATGCGGGTGTTGATCTTGTGGTTGAGCTTCAGGGTGAAGATTGGCACAAGCATGGTGGACGGTGGAGAGATCTGAACATCAAAAATCATAATTCAGCAAACTGTATTTTGACCTGTTGATTTCATATTTATCCTTTAATTCAATATAACAAAAACCATGTTTGGTATGATTTAAAGATTAAACAACTGTAATTTGCAGAAGATCCTGTATAGCTCGATGTATATTTAGTACATCCCCTTATTTAGCTTATTACGATCCCTGTAAGTTAGCTTCAGTACTAACAGTTTACAGCTGAGTGTTCAACTTGTCCCCTCCCCCCTAGCTCCCCATCCGGTCCCAAACACCAGCTTCTGAATGATTTACGAATTCCCTCCCAACCTCACCTATCAAACGACAGCACAAAGACGTTGGGGTGATCCCAATTGACAAGACAAAAGGCTCATTAGACCCAGTATTTGGCACGGAAACGTTTCCAGACGATGAAGCAGATCTAAAATCACGTCTTGTTTCCCTCCACAGGTATGCTGCCGCAAGGGATCATGGTCGGCTCACCTGTGGGAACAAGTCCCCACACGCGTAGATTTAAGTGCGTATAAATAGTCTGAAACCTATCAATAAATGTGACAAATTTGTATTTGTATAAATTTACCAATACAGTTGAATAGTATTTAGATTCATATATTTAGAAAGACATATTATTGTGATCAAAAGTGCAAGATAATTGCTTAATAGCGAACAAGCTGGTTGTAATAATGTAGGCATATATGCATATGGGGCCTTGTGTTATCAAACCGAGGCCTGATGACAAGCAGCTGACCTGAACGCTCAGATTTGTTGACAACTTCGACTGTTGTGGGCTTTACAACAGATTTTGCCAAATGTGTAGAGTTGTAGGGTCGCCTGAAGAAAACTTAAGTGACCTAAAGCTTCGTTGGACCAAACTAGTGGCACAAAAGGACCCCCAGACGCCTGATTGTTGAGAAGAGAGTATGGAAAAGTCTGAGGGAGGGGGGCGCCTTGGCGGAACCGGGCGGAGACTTCCGGGTTGGAAGACATGGCTTCTTCTTTTCCTCTCAACAGGTGAGAAACATTTCATCATTTCGTGCTAGATTAAGATTCTACCGTAGATATACCCTGTTCTTACATCAGACGGACACTTCAGACTAGCCCAAACCTGACTGCATTGCTTGTCACGTGCTACTTACTGTAAGTAGGACAAAAGGGGAAAATTCATTTCCAGGCACGCAGGTGACTTATGGGTTATGAGGAGGTTATGGATGATGGCGGCATCGGGGCCACAGATTGGTTCCACTTCGGCAGGCCCTGTCTGCTTCTATCTAGGAACATCTGGCACAGACTAGCTGGGAAAATTAATATTTATATTCAAATGTATTATACATGTCCGTAGCAAGAAAGTACAAATTCTAAATGTCTCCTACGCATTGCTCAAGTAGGTGTGATAAATGCTTTTGTTTACAGGATGCCGAGTCATTATTAAATATCATTATCAATCAGATGATAATGATCTTTTACATCAATGTAGAATAGCATATGTGGCATATACATTTTATGTTATGCTTACTGACTAGAATGACAAGCATTTTGGAATGGTAATTACATTTATGTCTGGAAATCAAACTGGTGATGCCAACCTTAAGTGCTTTTAATACAGAGCTAGTATCTTATAGTTGTTTTGCATATTATCATTTTGCCCTACTAGTCAAAACATCTCACCAGGTTGTTGTGTAACTTGCTGTGCTTGTGTGCAGTGTTACATCTGTGTTCCCTAGACTGAACAAACACTGCCTGTTTACATAAGCAGCAGTCTTGTTTAAGTCACAAAACAGTCACTGTGACTGGTCTGTACTACTAGGATTGACATCACTGCTGGTAGCTCAAAATACTGCAAAATGTCGCAAAACTCTTACTGGATATACAATAAAATCGTAAGCCCATCATTTGTATCATTTGTACAGTCAAACTTGGTACAGAAAAGTGGCAACAGTCAGTAACAGTTGATAATGCCAAACCTACATGTACAAGCATGCCCTCCTCATAAACAGTGTGTCAACTTCAAGTCAATGAGTTGATTTTTCTCTGTTACTCCACAGTGTTCCAGATCTCCCATGTCTGTGGCGAAGATCGGGACATCCTGGCCTCCTCCAGCAGGGTTGGCGGGGAGGTCTGTACAGACGAGAAGCGCCACGGGCCCCGCGGTCGCATCCTCAGCCCAAACTACCCTCTCAGCTATCCCAGCAACACCGAGTGCAACTGGTACATCAATGCCAACCCTGATGATGTCATCACCATCAGGTACACATAGAGTCATAGACTGATGTCATTTTAATTTTGATCATGCATGATAATTATTAAAAGATTGGAGCATGATTTTTCTAGTAATCTTGTATTGCTGGAATATTCTGCCCTTTCAAGAATATTGGTAGCTGTTTATTGTTGTAAAATTCCCATAACCAAGGAGTCCAGAAGGTCATCTGTGTTGGTAGTAATCATACATGTAGTAAAATGTTGAACTTAATTCCAACACAATGAGGACAGAGAGGTAAAATTTTTAATGACCACCGTCTAGAATAACTTTGACCTTTCCTTTTTAGCTTTGAAGACTTTGACCTAGAAGCAGCTGAAGACTGTGGCTATGACAGTCTGGAGATCGGGCCGGTGGTGTCTGCAGGGGAGCAGTATGTGAAGTACTGCGGCAGCTACGATCCTGTTCCACCGCCGTTTCTGTCCACACGAGACCACGTCTACATTAAGTTCTACAGTGATCCAAGCACTGTGGGGAGGGGATTCGCACTCACATACATAACTGGTGAGTTCAGGGATTCCCTTCAAACCTGAATCATGGTTTTGATGCGCAACTTGGTCATTAGAAATTATATACATGGTAAGAGACTAAACACCTGTACTGAGATTCTGCAACTTCTGTTGTAGGATTTTTGATGATCATTTTAAACTAGGAGTACTAGAAGATGAAGTACAAAGGTCAAAACATTAATATATCTAGTACATATAGTTCATATCTATGCGAATGTATTGGAAAGCCTAAAACATGAAATACACATGTTCTTTCCTGGCAGGTCCCCAGAATGTTGCAAGCTGCCAGCAGGATGAGTTCCACTGTGACAACGGGAAGTGTGTGCTGAGCTCATGGACCTGTAACGGCATGGATGAATGTGGGGACAACTCAGATGAAAAGGACTGCACAGGTGACTAGTTACTACTATGCATATATGTTTGTACAATTACTTATAACTGTGTAGAGGTCTAGAGTAACATTCATACCAGTAGAATGTCACCAAAGTTTGACATAGATGTCACAAGTTCTGAAATACATGTAGAAATGTGTATCTCAGAATCAAAGCTAGTTCATACTCAGCCCTGTATTAAGAGCCCTGTACATATACATGTACCTGTTTTTTCGTGAAAAATTATTTTGAATTATGCAAAGAATCTAGAACTGTAAGAATTTAAGAATTTAGATTGCAATCAAACTCTGTATCACAAAAATTATAAGTGTGATGTAGTAGCATAGACTAAACATATACATGTACGTACAAACACATTCCATTGTCTCCCTACAGACATCCACCGCCCCACCCCTCCCCCCCACGTGTCCCCATGTGGTGCTGACCAGTACCTGTGTGTGGACCTGCACACCGGCAGGGACGCCTGCTTCTGGGACTTCACACGCTGTGATGGGAAACAGGACTGTGCAGATGGGCAGGACGAACACAACTGTGGTAGGTCACTGCTGCAAAATGTGAAAGAATTCAGTTAATACATTATCAAATGCTATATTGCCAAAAGTTGAGAAACTCAAGTGGTTTATGATTGGATATATCCTTAGAATGCCACAAGCACCTGCATGAAAACCTGAAATTCTCAATTTTAGGCTGCAGCAGATACAAGGCTTGTAAAGGAATGCACTATGTCAATCTGCTCAGCATGCTGAAGGGAGGCCTAAAGCATAGAAGGATAGGGCCTCCTACAACAGAATAGAAACTCCAAGAGGTAAGGGAACTTGCAAGGCATAAGACATAGTGTAAGAAGATGAAGAAAGACTGAATGCAGCTGCAGGACGTTTCTACGACTACTTCTACACCCATTGGAAGAGAGACAGATATTATCAAATATTGATTATGTGATATTACACATTGTATATTTTCCCCCACCAGGAGGAATTGTCCATTGTGGTGGAATCCTGAGCAACACATCGGGAGGCTTTTCCTCTCCCAACTATCCTCATGACTATCAAAACAACCTGAGCTGTGATTGGATCATCACCATACCAAATATGGTAGGTGTTCAGGGATTCATATTTCCAATGACCATTCACTAGAACTGGTACTTACAGGGCAGGTCATGGTTTTGGACAAAGTTGAGGGCATATTGTAAGATTCAGATTTTTTTTAGTATGAGTTAATGGTGGTCTATCCATGATGTTTTAGGTTGGTGTTGTCATTCAACTGAGATTCGTGGACTTTGCCCTTGAGAACCACCCAGCCACTGACTATGTCACTGTGTATGATGGGGACACAGAAGATGAGGTATGTTGTGGGCATATGTTTTTGGAGACCTGGTAAAATTGCTTGTAATCTGTTCAAAGATCAAAGCAAGATTTTTCTTGCTAAGTCTTCATGTTTTATATAATCATCAGTTTTCTATAAAAGAATGGAAAGGAACACTAAGTTCTGCTTGTCTTTACATAAACCGTAATTATCCATTGGAGATTTTGGCTCGCTAATCTGTCTTCTACTGGAAAGCAATGGTACTGTGTCTAAAGTAGACATTGATGGTAAGAGAACTAAATTTGCATCTACTGGAGGAATAATTAAGACATTTTACTCTCTGAGTTAATGAGCCTTTTCCTATCCGACAGGATGAGCTGGGTGTGTACTATGGCAGTAACCCTTCCATTGGAGTGATCGAGTCATCAGGGCCTCATATGTTGGTCAGATTTCACTCGGACAGCTCTGGAACCAACAGGGGCTTCTTGGCAAGTTACCAGATCAAAGGTAATACCTGTGAGAATCACTAGGGGGCATTTGTGATACACTTGTGAAGCTTCTTTTCAAGTCACTTATTAGAGAGTCTCCTTACTGTGACACATACGGTTATTAGTTATTGTTGTTTTTTTTTTTACTTCAATTCACATAAGCCACTTACACTAAGGAACTGTAGAGACAGATGTTTGTTCACCCTAGACTTGAAATTTAGGAAGCATTTACAATGATGTAAAATTTTCAAAAAAGTTGAACCACAAGAGTCAGTACATCATGTACCAGTCATGAACTGATCATGTGATGATCACATGCCTTCCAGGTCGGTGTCCAGCATTACAACAGCCATGTGAGGACCACAGCGCCTGTTACAGCTCTGAGGACAGGTGTGATGGCATCTGGGTGTGCCGAGATGGCACAGATGAGAAGGGCTGTGGTCAGTATTGTGTTATTTTTTTTTTTTTAAAATTTTTAAATCCTTTATTCACAACATTTACATGTACATTGTAACATTGTAAAAGGACAACAATACGTGTACATTATATATAAAAAAAACAGACAACCCTATTTATACAAAGAGAATTCTGTTTTAAACATATTAGCTATTGCAATCCCATCATATTTGTCCTTTTCCAGCCAACTTCGAAATATTACATATTTTGCGATAGTGATAGCTAGGTTTGTGTACTTAATTTCCACAGAGGGATTGGGCAGATCTGTTTTATATCCTAATATTATAACCTTGAAGTCGATTACAACATTACAGCAAAAAGTCTTGTATATATAATCCTTCACTATTGTCCAGAAAGATTTTAACCTACTACAAGCAATAAACAAATGTTGATAATCTTCTATACAGTTACATAGATTACAGATATTACTGCGTTTTATTTTCCAAACATAAAGTAACTGGCCACATGGCAGTATACGATGTAACAGCTTATAATTCAATTGCATCAAGTGTTTTCCTATTGGAAAATAAGTTTGATTTTTCCATATGTTTTTCCAGTCAGG